GTGCAGCTCTCAGAGAGGAGGCCCTGGAGTGGGTAGCTCCTCTCTGCAGATGGTCATCCTCACGTCTGCAGCTCTCAGCAGAAAGGAGGCCTTGGAGTGGGTAGTCCTCTCTGCAGCTGGTTGTCAGGACATCTGCTTAGCTCTGGCTGAGCCTAGGAGCTTTATGGGCCTCAGAGGGGAGGAAGAGCATGCTCATTTGTCCATGGGCAGCCATGGGCAGGCCCAGAAAAAGCACCACAAGTTCCCACTCCAGTCCACAGGACTGGCAGCCTGGCCCCCAGCCTTCAGGCCCTCCCTGGCCTGAAAGTAGGCCTCACCAGGGACTCACCCCCTTCTGCCCAGGAACCTTTCTGCCTCCTGCTGCTGTTCATGGTGCCCAGGCTATAGGTGCAAAGAGGCACCTGCAGGCCAGCGCTGAGCTGCCTCAACCCCCCATTGGCTTCCCTGCTATGCTCATTGGCACCCAAAGTCCAGAGCAGGCCAAAGCACCAGGGGGCTGGCATGTCAGCACTGCCCCAAGTGTGTGCACAACCCAGCTGGGCTGCAACAGCACCTGGGCTCACCCAACTTTGCACCATGATCAGAGCAGGTGCAGACAGTAGGGAGAAGCCAGGCAGTGGTAGCAGGCACTTCTGAGCCTGCGAGGGCAAGGGTGGCCTTACAGAGCACCCAAGAGTACAGAAATGCCTATGTCTACAGCTGCAGTTTGGTTGGCTACAGCTGTGATGGGGGATGGGGCCCTGCATGTTCAATGGAGCAAGAGGCCTGGGTCTGCAACCATGACATGGGTGACTGGAGCTGCACCTGGGAGGGCGGTGTTCCTGCCTGCTCCTACCTGCCCCCTACAAGAGCACAGGGAGGCCTGGTCTATAGCCATGACTTGGGTAGCTGCAGCTCCTGGGAGGGCAGGGCTCCTACCTGCTCTGTGGAGTGAGAAGCCCAGGCCTGCAACCACAACTTAGGTGGTTGCAGCTGTACCCGGGAGGGCAGGGCTCCCACCTGCCCCCAGGTCCTGAGAGCCCAGGGATGCCAACGTCCATAGCCATGGCTTGGGTGTCTACAGAGGCACCCAGGTACCTCCCACCCCAACTCAGAAGGGGCAGGGCTCCCACTTGTCCCAAGCCCCTGCCAGCTCCATGAAGTGCGCAGCCCTGGCCATGCCTCCCCACTACAGCCAGTGTGATGGCAGCAGCTGCTCCAGACAGCCCACTGCTGCCATCATTACTTCTAGGAAATCTTCGTTCTTTCAGGCAGGTAACACTTTATACATATCTCTAGTGTAACACATTTTTTAAAATCACATTATGATTATCTGTTTATATAATCTACTTGTCTCTTTAGACAATGACCTTCTTAAGACCTGGGAACTCATCCCAGGGCTTAGTCTAGTGTATAGAACAGAGTAGAAATTAAATGAAAGATTGAATGTCTTACTCATCCCTAGTATGGAAAAACTTGGAGTGGAAGAGTTCTGGAATTAAATGGAATCTTTGTGAGTGTAGTCTGAAATAGTTCTTGGAGTTCCAGTCTGTCCTGAACTCCCAGCTCTATGCCCAAAGTAGGTTCACTTTCCATACCTACTTCAGACTTAGGACTGAACTGGAATTGAACTTTTATGGTGGCTGGTAAAATACGGGATACATCTTTTTTTCTACCTGTTTACCCTGTAGTTCCAGTATTCACCTCTGTGTTTTCTACTCTAGGGGAAAAAAAAAAAAAAAAGGTGGGGATATTCTTAATTTGGGAAGTTATATGGCCGGAATAGAATTTCTAACATTTTTGTTATGATTATTATTATATAAACACAAAGTTTTAAGCACTGTAAATTTTAACATTCAGTTATCTAATTTAAGCATGTAAACACACTAACTTGAATCTTGCCAGGGACATTTAGGAAAACTAGATTTACTTGAATTTAGTTTGCTTTACATTTATTTACATCACTCGTATTTTTTATAGCAATAGCACGTTTTTTCATTAGCCTTTGTGACATTTAGAAAGTAAGATATGTGCATTAAAAGCTCTGTAAGAAAGTAAACTTTAATGAAATTTTTTTCTCTCAGACCCAGAGGAATCCTGCTCAGGTTGAATGCCGTATATATAGCAAAAGGCATGGCTACAGCTGAAAGTATTTATGATAAAGTAAAGGACTCAATTTCTACTTTATCCTCTGTCAACACTCATAGGGTAGCTAAGTATATAACTTTTTAATAGAGCATTCTTCTTAAGTATGTGAAAGCTAAAAAAAAAATCAAATAACTTTTTATTTTGATTGTTTTAGAAATAAAATCAGGGCTGGGTGCAGTGGCTCATGCCTGTAATTCCAGCACTTTGGGAGACCGAGGCAGGGGATTGCTTGAGCCCAGGGGTTTGAGACCAGCCTGGGCAAACATAGTGAGACCTCATCTCTTTAAAAAAATAATAAATAAAAAATAAAAATCAAGTAAATGTGAGCAAACCACAACTGAGCACAAGTACTCAACATATATATTCACATATATATTAAGCACACATTTGCATAGATTGACCTTGCTAATACAGGAACCCCTTCCTGGACTTCAGAAAAGGTTTAGTTTCCTTTTCTGTTTTTGTTTTATTTTTTAAATAATGGAGGTTGGGGATGTCAGAACAGGAAGAAACTGCTTTAGTTAAGTGGAGTATTGGTATTCCTTCATAACTGGATACCTACTGAAGGCTGTGAAACCACATGGAGAGGAGGTGCAGAGAGGTTGTCCTCTTTGTGGGGAGATTGGTATCTTGGCAATGTTCATCAAGATCACTGTGACAAAGTAGTACTTTTCAGAGACTGTCCTATACAATCCTTTCAATAAGCCTTTGAGGGCTAATTCATATCCTTTACATTTTAAGGTTGAGGAAAGAAAAGGGGTTAAGTAACTTGGTCTAAATAAGTGAACTGGGAGTGCAGAGAAGCTCCTGACTCTGGAACCAAAGAGCTTTACATACCTGTGTGTGTGTGTACATCAATGATGCATTTGCTGTATTTCAAGGAAGTGATGTGTAGATGATGGTCTTAAGGCCATTTGGTAAAATGTTGCTTATTTATTTATTCTCCCACAACTTGGCTTTTTAAATATTGAGTTAAGTAGGTTATTCTAAGGAAATAAAATTCTAAGGTTCATTATAGCCAAACAATATAGAAGACTTCTTTGGAATTAACATGTCTGATTCCACTGAAATGACAAGACTGCTGACTTGTCCTCCTTAAAAAGATCAATCCGTCAGTATTTCATTATCAGGGAATGTTGGTTTAGTTTGGTGTCATAAAGAACAGTGCCACACAGCCAGTCTAATTACCAATTCCCATGCACTCTCACTGGAGAAAAAGGAGTCAAACCATGAGTGGGCACTGCCTAGGCATTATGGCTCCTCAGATCTCAGTTCTGTCAACCTTAATTGCAAGCTTTTTTGAATCTGCCCCCATGAATGCAAGCTTCAGGGGTTAGCCAGAGATGTGGGCAGAATTTATACACAATATTTAGGGCTCCCACTATCAGGTTTTCTTCTTTCTGGGATCCCCTCTCACTTTCCAGCTGTGGGTACCTCTGTCTCCCTTCTCTAGTTCTTCAAGCCAGTAAGAGTAGAGGTTTCTTCCCAACTTTTAGTCACCCCCATTACCCTGGGGCCTGCTCTCAGCCTAAAAGCTGTAAGATTAGAAAACTGACCCAGTGCTATGCCATTCCCTTCATCCAAGTGTCACACTTTGACCTCTATATCTACCTTCTTTTGTTCACTTTTTAGTGCCTTCAGCTAGGTTTATTTTGGTTGGTTTTCCAGAGTTTATAGTTGTTACTTGTGTGTATCTGTTGGGAAGAGGGGACAGAGAGGTCAGCCACTTTTAAAAGTGGAACCTTAAAGAGCTTTTTGTGTATTGAATCATAAGCAAACCTGTTAAACTTCATATTAAAATTAGACACAAATGACACCAAAAACATTTTGGCACTATAGTATAAAACCATACCTTACTATTGACCTTTCTTCTGCCTATTCTTTTTCATGTTGTCTTTTTCTACTTAAATCCCTCCTCAATTTCAATTATTGTTTAATAATGACTTAGCGAGTACTTACTAGATGGAAGGCACTATGCCAGATGCTCTTATCTGTTAAAATCTTGTTCATTCAAAATCCAAGTCAAATGCAAACACTCCCAGGATCACCCCCTCCCTCTTATTGACCACATGTGATTTACTTTCCTCTGAATGCTTTTAGTACTTTGTTCCTACCTTATGACATTATATTTATTAACATACTTGCTTTTCTCTCCACCCCAACCAGTTCTTCATCTCTATTAGATTATAAACTTCATCAGTAACGGCAAGTCTCACTCATGTTTGTGTCTATCCATGCTGCCTTAAACATACTTTAAAGCCAAGAACTGAAAAGAAACATAAAAGTCTGCAGTTGCAAAGAAAGGAAAAAACTTTAGGACATTAGCTTCCTGTCTGTGTTCTCAAGAGGAGAGTAAGATATCAGATACTAAAGCATTATTTCTAAAGAACATCTTAACAGAGAAAACTCCTCTCCTCATTATTCTCCCCACTTCCCTTCCCTTCCTCCTTCTTCCTCCGTTTCCCTTTCATCTTGTCCTTCCTCTTACTCTTGCTTCCCCTTCCACCTTTATCTTTCCCTCTTCACACTTCCTTTTTTTCTCAGTATTTAACTATAGTCTCATTTAAACTTTTCATATGCTTAGTCTCCTTTTTAAAGTGGGAAAATAAATGGGTTTGTATGAACAGACCAGTGATGTCCAAAAACTGGGTGGGAGAAGAACCCAAACATTTGATTCTTCCTTCATTGATTCGTCTTTCATTTATAAGATACCATAATGAAATTTTATAGGTTGAATTTTCAATGACAAAAGCCACATATTAGCATCTTTTTCTCTTTGAACCATAGCAACAAACATACCATAAAATGGAAATTACAGAAATAAAATTAAGTGAATGAAACTCATTTTTCTAATAAGCTCACTTCTTCCTTAGATTCAGGTCATAAGACATTTAAAAGGAGAAGATCTATCATAAACTGGGCCTTCTGGCGAGGTTCTAGCACTCACCTGGACAACTTGCCTACGTCGCCAACATCACCTATGCCAGGACAGCTCTTTGGAATTTCTCTGCCAAATATTTGTGAGAACGACAATCTGCCCAAACCTGTCTTGGTAAGGCTCATTTTGGTCTGTAAACTGATGGGAAAGGGTGTTTGGGAAAGGAGAGCTCTGCAAGGTAAATCTGCCCCCAAATGGAAAAATTATAGACATCATTGTCTTTGGCTAAGAATCTTCATTATTATTCCTCCAAATAACAAAATCGGATTTAGCTATTGTGAAATCAGAAGGAAGACATAATAGGGAGAGATAACCTAGTCTACTGATTTCAGGAAAGAGCCACGTAAGCCTGCTCAGATAAAGTAGAATTTGCTCTGTAGACAGAGAATTCACATTATTCCTCACAAATCCTTTCTTGAACATCACATTGTTCTCAAAGTCTTCTTTGATCATTGTAGCAGCAGAAGCTACTCAATGTTACACTTAGGTTTTTAAATCCGTTTTATTTCTATTTCAAGTGCTCAGGCATAAAGATACATTCCCTGGCATTTGTTTATCTTTTGTATATAGAGTGGGTCAGATGAAAGCCACTGGGTTTATATTATCTCGTTGATATTTTAAATAATCACTGCTAAGCAGCATTTATTGAGTCTCCAGTATCCTTCAAGCACTATACTAGATATATGGCATTTTATACTGTATTATGCATCTACAAATGCCAGACACTTGACTAGCCACTTTGTTTATTCTTCACAACAGATTTAGGGGATAGTTATTATCATGTCGTCATCCCATCCCTACTTTACAAATTGTTTTAAAGCCTCAGTACTGTACTCAATGTTACACAGTAACTAAGTGGCATAACTAGGTTTTGAATCCCAGGGATTGCTTGTGTTCAAAACCCATTCTCTTCTTACACTGTAAGCAGAGAGGACATAGTGATAGAAAGCAAAATTAGAGAACACTTAAAACTCTCTCTGAGCAATTTTTAGGAATACAGTGCATTATTAACTATAATGATAATGTTATATAATAGATCAGGTGACCTTATTCCTCCTAACTGAAATTTTATATCCTTTGACCAACATCTCCTCAACCTCACCACCACCCCCAGCCCCTGGTAACCACACTTCCACTCTCCAAAAAGGTGACTTTAATTTTTCCAGCCATTTATTTAGCTCCAATCCTTCAGTGCTTTTACCCTAGCACACCCTAGCCTCTGGCATCCAAAGAGGGCAAGTATATACATTGCCTTATTTGTGTGTGTGAAGTATCATTTTGTTTATTTTCCTTTGCTTCCCCATAGGATATGCTTTTCTTTCTTAATCAAAAAGGACCCCTCACCAAAGGTATCTTCAGGCAATCGGCCAATGTGAAATCCTGCAGAGAACTAAAAGAGAAATTGAATTCTGGAGTTGAAGTACACCTAGACTGTGAATCTATTTTTGTGATAGCATCTGTCTTAAAGGTAAGAAGAGTCCTCCCTTTATCCACCCCATGGTGTAGCTCTAGAGAAAGAAAGGGTGTTTTACTTTTTCATTATGAACATTATTTCTATCTGTAAAGACCCATAATAGATTTAACATAATTTTTACACTAAAAAGTGTTTAAAAAACATTTCACAAAGTCAACATTGGACTTTAAAAGCTACCATTGATGATATAACATATCAAATATGCTTTTTAAATTTTTTATCCCACACTGATCTCATCTTTACTTCTGCCACTCCATGTAAAAAATAAAAATTTTAAGTTTAAAAAATCAAAAAACACACGTATACCAAAAGAGACATCCTGCTTATGATTTCCTCACTATCTCACTACATTCTTAATGAAGGCAGTTTTCAAATATAAACATTAAATGTTTGAAAATAGGTAAAGAAGTTTGCTATAATAAACATTTGCCTCACAATTGAAATAAAAAATTGCTGAGATCACTGAAAATTCTATTTATTTTCATAATCATCATGCCTTCCCTTGTCCCCTAATGCCTTTTACCAGATTTAATGGTTCTTATACTTTTCCGGAAGGGGGTTTAAATTTTACCCCGGCGGGGGTGCAGTGGCATGATCTCAGCTTACTGCAACCTCCACCTCCCGGGTTCAAGTGATTCTCCTGCCTCAGCCTCCCAAGTAGTTGGGATTACAAGCATGCACTACCACGTCCAGCTAATTTTTGTTTTTTTACTAGAGACGGGGTTTCACCATGTTGGCCAGGCTGGTCTCTAATTCCTGACCTCAGGTCATTCGCCCACCTCAGCCTCCCAGAGGGCTGGGGTAATAGGCATGAGCCACCGCACCAGACCTAATGCCTTTTACTTTAAAAGTGGAATAGGAACGACTTCAGCATCTAAGTTTTCTTTTACTTTTACCACACTTGGCATTCTTTATGGTTCTTACACTTTACCCATTGTTACTTAAGTCACGTCCACAGTTACAGAGATACAGAGTTCTGAAATGTTTTCTGCCCCCACATTCTTGGAAATGCTCTACATTTTTGGAAACACCTACAGTCAAAATGAGCTTTAAGCAGAGCTTTTGACCTTAGCAGTATCTTCTGCAGACCTGTGTCAGGCTCCCACGTCCCAAAGAATTGGAATGCACCAGAGCTAGGGGTCGAGACAAGGCCCCAGCCTGTATCTCAGGCTGAAACATGAAAACCAAGTTAAGGAAAATATGGTGAAGAAGATTCTTGCATACCCCTACTCCAGCTAAGTGCCCAGGTGCTTATAGAATGTTACTTCATGACTTTATATACAATCAGATGTTTCTTGGTAAATAAGCCATATCTGCTCTTAAACCCTGCTACAGATTTTTGCAATTAAATATGCAAGAGAACTGGAGGGTTGAAGCTAAGGTCATCTCATCTGTTTTGCACAGGGTTTATGATTACTCTTCAGTCCTGGAACACACTAAAAATATGAATATGTAAAATATGTATTTTACATATACACATATGTAAAAATATGTAGCCAGATATATATGCCAAGGTTTTTTATGCATGATAAAATTTTTTTTATATATCTCTTAATTTACAAAGGTAAAGCTTGTGTTTTTTTGGGTTTTTTGTTTGTTTTTTCAGACGGAATCTCGCTCTGTCACGCAGGCTGGAGTGCAGTGGTGTGATCTCGGCTCACTGCAAGCTCTGCCTCCCGTGTTCACGCCATTCTCCTGCCTCAGCCTCCAGAGTAGCTGGGACTACAGGCGCCCACCACCATACCCAACTAATTTTTTTGTATTTTTAGTAGAGACGGGGTTTCACTGTGTTAGCCAGGATGGTCTCAATCTCCTGACCTCATGATCTGCCTGCCTCGGCCTGCCAAGCTTGTGTTTTAAAACAATTTTCTTTAAACAACCAAGAATGTCTGCAGAAAAAAGAAATTTCTTACTGTGCTGTTCTTCATAGCATTACACTTCTTAAAATTTTGCGCTAAACTGTTGATGCTATTGCAAAGAAGCATGGTTCTAGAATAGTTAAATTATGTTTCAAATTGCAGAAATATTTGTCCAAAAATAACCAAAAGGCAAAAAATGATCCAACTGATTGAAAAGTCTGGTTAAATATGTTCCAAGTAATTAGCATTTTATTGTATGTTTTACCCCCTTTTCTTCCAAGTGCTTGCAGAAAGGGAGATAATTTTTAGCAAAAGTTTTTAAGCTTTTGTTTTGTTTCTTGTTTTTAAATCTGTTTTGAAGTGGTACTTACATTTTCCTTTAATTTTTCACTTATGCTGGTTTTGCTTAAATATAAGTTTAAGTTAAAGCTTAACTCTTCAAACTATAATTGGATGAAAATTGCTTAAGACACTATAACTTTGATCCATCAAACCTTTGAGGAAAAGTTCATATTTAATCCTGCAGTATCTCATCTCAAATGAATTTGGGGGTTCTGCTGATGACCTTGGCTCTGGTTTTGGAGGAGAGGAGACATTCAGTTAAGTGCTGTGAGCTGGTGATTGCAGTTCAGAATCGGCTCTCACATCCTTCTCAGCTGTGGTGATGGTTGTATTTCGTAACTTGTTATTCCAGCTGTGGGAGAGTTCATTGAGATGTTACGAGTTATTATCTTTCAAGTGTAGGTTTAAGATGTTAATGATGTTTTTCTTCAAGACAGATCATAAGTATGTTTTCCACGGAGATTTAAAAAGAGAGCTATTGTCCCTACCACATTTTGAAATAACACATTTTGCCTCTTCTAAATCTAACTTCCAAAATGGGTACAGCAGCTAAAATTAGTTTTGAATTATGAAAATTCAATCACTTTACCCAAAAAGAGGTAACTTTTGTAATGATATACCTGAATCACAAGTATGCAAGTACATTTCTGCTAGAAGATATAATAGAACAGAAGAAGACTTTGAATTAGTCAATCTTCCTTCTTATTAAACATTCTAAAAAAAAAAAAAAAAGGATGGTAATAAAGTGTCATGACTACAAAGAGGCTTTTCAGATTATCTTAAAATCTCAGTTACAGTTGATTGGCCTTCTCTTGGCTCCCATTAATATTTGGCCATATGCAATATAGCAGTAGTTCACTAATGACCTCTACTATGACTAGGACTGTGCTTGGCATTGACATGTACAAAGAAGGTAAGGGTCTGTCCCTACCCTGGAGGAGCTCATAAGCAAGTGGGGAAGATGCCCACACAATCAGCTAATTGTAGGAATAAGTTATCACAGCTTCTATATTACTGTTATAAACATGATATCTAAGTAACAAGGTGTGTGTTGCCTTCAATAAGGCACATAGGTAAAATTATTGATTTGATTTAGCAAGAGTTAAAATTGCCCAATTGCTGACTTTCACCTGTCCTCATGTTGTAAGCAGGGAATTGCAAGAGGGTAGCCAACCATGTGTATGGTGCTTAAACACGATGTTGAGTTTACTCTGCCTAAAGTTTACTAAGGTGGAGATCAGACTGTAAGCTTGACCTTGGTAATGCCACAGCAAAAGCAAGAGAGACAGTTGGCCTAGAGTCAACTCTGTAGGACCAGGACAAGAACCAAATTTTGTTATTTTTAAGTTTTTTGTAAACAAAAACCAAACAACAAAAGCTAAACAACAAACATCCTTGGTCATTTGCTGTTTGTGTCATAGTTCAGCCTTACCACACTCAGCCCTGCCAGTGATCTCAGCAGAATAGGGTCTCCTAGAAAAGGATAATGTCCTGTGGACATGTTATTTAGTGTACATCAGGCATGGGTGTGCTGCCCAAGTTTCTAGAACCCAGCCATCACCTGAAATGCTCTCTCTCCCCAGATATATGAGAACCTTTCTACAGGGAATACAGGGAGAAACCTAAGTATCTCTTGATGCAATTGTGCACTAATACCACTGGAATATAAAGTTCTAAGGTAGCAGATACTTTGTTTTATTCACTTCTCTATCCCCAGCAACTTAAATAGTGCTTGGCACATATGAATAAATGCACATAGAATGATTGAATTAATGACTACCAGACAATGAACCTCATAGATACCTTGGTGCATTTCCTTGAACTAGCCGTCTAAGGGACAGGGGAAAGGAATTTAGGATGGTTTACTGCCAGACCTTGTCATGTCATACTAGTTCACTAAAATGTATGCAAACAGGAAGTTTCAGCCAAATGGGTTGTCCTTTATTTTCCCACAATAATGAAGACCAGTTATCCCAATGATTTTTTCTGTAAGAAAATCTAAGTACATGTTTCTGTGTCCCCAAGTCAATGGAGAGTTGGCGCAGAGCTGTGTAGTTCACAGAAGAGAGTACTTAAGGGAACTTTTCAACAAAATGTCTTCTACTTTCTCTAATACATGTTTGGCATGAGGATAATGATTTGAAATATTTGTTTTTCAATCTATTTAAGGATTTTCTGCGAAATATTCCAGGAAGTATTTTTTCATCAGATCTCTATGATCACTGGGTCTCTGTAATGGATCAAGGAAATGATGAAGAGAAAATAAATACTGTTCAAAGGTAATTATTCTAATTTGGTCATGTCTCAAATATACTTTTAAAATATTTTATAAGATTATTTATTAAAATAATGACAACTATCAAAGTCATATCCATGTGGACCAGTTTAGAAATAGATTTATGCTAGTTTGTCATTGTTTTCCTCCTTAATCTTATAGTTGAACATTGTAATACTTGAACATTGTATACCTTCCATATACCTGAATCTGATGGGAGCTGAAATCCATTAGTCCACTAGCTAATACTATAGGCCCAGTCTTCAGTTTATGATCTTAATTTTTGTAAATATTTAACCAGACAACTCATCATATATTGCATTCACCAACTGAAGTCATACAGAGAAAATGAGCTATTCTGTCTTCTCACAGAACTCACAGTCTGGTAAGGTAGATAGAAAGATCAAGAATTACAATGCAGTACAATCAGTGCTAGGGGAGAGATTTGGAGAGTGTTGTGGAAGCACAGCAAAGGCACAGTTAAGTCCTTGAAAAGTGGAAAGGAAAAGCAGAGTTGCAAAGTACATCTGATCATAAAGGATGTGCTGTCTCTACTCATGCAAAGGGAAATTGCTGGTAGAACTCACTACCCCATTCCTGAATGTTTCCTGCATTATCAGAGAATAGGAAAGAAACATCCCTTAACAAAAAGCAATATTTCTACTTCTGTGAATACTCAAGAATCTCAATATTATTTACTTGTATTTGCTTGTTTAGTACAGTTGTTTTTTTTCTTAAGCAACTTTCATGTATGAACTATCTACGTCTTTCACCAGTAGTACATAGTACAGCTGCTGAAGACACCAGAAACCAAGGTCGTTTAACAAAACACCACCTCCACTTCCATTATAGTTTGGCGTAAACCATTCAGATAGTGAGCATCAAATTCTAAACTTTGTTGCTAATTGTCTAAAACACTATATATCCTATAAGCTGTTAAATGATTTTTTTTGGAAAAAGGTAAAATTACGACTCATGCAAATATGAACACGTGAAATATTTTGTTTAAATCATTTATGAGGGAACTAGTAAGATGTTAACAACCAGTTCAAAGGATATTTCAAAGTTGAAATCATATATACATTCATATATATTCATAATCATATACATATTCATATATATATGAATCAGAAATGCTAAAGTGAATTTGCAAATAAATACAAACAAAACTGACCTTTTCTGTCAGGGCAGGGGTGCAGATAAATCAGTTGTCTCTCCACCAGACAGGAATTTTCACATATTTAGACAAGTATTAGATGCTCTGCTATCAGTTGTTTACAACTTACACAGAGTTGTAAAATACCTCTTATTGTGAAAAATCTTAAGGCCCTATAGAAGCAGAAAACCCAAACGCTTATGCTAGATGCCTTATTTTCCATTGAATACACCCAGTAATCTTTTGTTCTATTTCAAAGTCCTTCATAACTTACCCTTACAAAAACTATGCTCATTGTTGGTCTGTTGTACTGAAGAAAGGCCTCCCTGTTATTTGTGCAAGCAGCAGTCAGACTATCTTGTTTTCCCTAGGTTGCAAGTTTCTACTAAAAAAAAAGAGAGTCATGAATATCAGTGTATTTGTAGTTTTTTTTGTATAATAATAGTCATTTTTGGTGACTGATCATTTAAAAATTCCTTATCAATTACAACATAAGAACAGTAGAAAATATACTACTATAAGCAACTTATATGTGAAAGTGATACGATGAAACAGATTTAGGACAAAATTGGCCTTGGAAGCTGGTGGAGCAGAGCATAAGCTCTCAAAATGGACCTGGACGTCTTGATAGCTAAGGTTTGGGTTCTTACCAAGAGACAGCATTGCTGTGTTACTACTTGGAAATAAAGGAGCATTTTATAAATTACTGTTTAATTTTATCAGAAAGCTTTTTGCCGTTTTTGGTTGAAAATATTCTGAAATGTTACAGGATTGGCCTAAGTTTGCATTATGCTAGTTTCAGGGAAATATTTCAGGCAGCATTTTTTTGAATGAAACATTTTTCTGCATTCTTTTACATTTTCATTGAGATGTGAAGACAATATAAAAAAACAAAAAATAAATTCCCAGTGCCTATTTTTTCTTTCTGTCCAGGCAGTCCTCACTTTGTATGGTACCATGTTAACTGAAACTCTTGCATATCTGAACTATGTTCTTGATTTGCCCTCTTCCCCATTCAAAGTGAGAGTTGCTTGTCTTTACAAGTTTTTAAATGAAATGTCTTGCTTAAAGAGTAATTTTTCTGTCTTTAGGCTATTAGACCAGCTTCCGAGAGCCAATGTTGTTCTCCTAAGGTATCTTTTTGGGGTGTTACACAACATTGAACAACATTCCTCATCCAATCAGATGACTGCATTTAATTTAGCTGTGTGTGTCGCTCCAAGTATTCTTTGGCCTCCTACTTCCTCCCGCCCAGAACTAGAAAACGAATTTACAAAAAAGGTAATGAAGTTTTTCATTTTTATGCCCTGGGAGACTGAGTCCCCATTTTGAAACTGAAATTTGGGGTATTCTAAAAGATGTTTCTTAAATAACTTAAGTATACCTCCTTATAAATTTGACTTTACTGGTAGACTATAGGAAAGTGATTTGTTAAGTAGGAAATGATAGCAGATGGGTTACTTCTCTTTTCCCTTTAAGGAGGCTAAACACTGTGACTAAAACCATAAAGTGAGAAAGCAGCTGATATGATTTTTAAAATGAAAAAAAAAAAAGGACTTTGGAGTTAGGACAGCCAAGCTTTCATTCTCAGCTCTACCCCCTTGCCAGATGTATAGTCTTGGGCAAAGTTACATTGACCCACAGTGTCCTCATCTAGAAATAAAATGGAGTTGGTGATAATACAGTAGTTATTTGAAATCACACTCCTGTAGTCCCGGGCAGTTAATAAGGGGTGTGGGGATATCAGTTCCCTTGCTCTTAACATTTCTCCTGCCCCTTGGTCTCAGCTACTGGGGCAAGGAAACTTCAGAAAGGTTCCAGTACCTCTCAATGGAGTCACAAAGCTCCCTAATAAACTCTTACCTTTCCCCACAAGCACCTCTTGTTAGGGAGCCTAGCAGAAGGTGGCAGTACATGGATAGACCTGTCAGCCAAATGCTTGGGTAGAGACTAGTCAGGAGCACAAGTTTTCTTCCTAGCTGTCTTTCTCCTTCACAGTGCACTCGCAGATGAGCCCTCTTCCCAAGTTTATGACAGCCTGCCCCTTACACAATAAATGGTTTTTATAAGTCTTTGTCTAATGATGCTTTATAAATTTTAATAACAAAGTATATTTCTTTACCCAGTTTTACAAACAGAGCCATTGGTATAAAATGTTAACATTAAGGCAAGGCTACAAATAATAACTTTAGTCCACCGATTACATTTCTATGCCCAAAGTACTTTTAAAAGTATCATAGTTTTTTAGGGGAAACTGTTTAATGTACTTTTAAAGCAGATATGAATTTTTCTGTGGGTACATGTGCTGCTTTTCGTTGTTAAAATCAGGATTTATATATGAAATGTGATTTATAAACATGTAATATGAAAAGTAATACTTCAGGCCGGGCGCGGTGGCTCAAGCCTGTAATCCCAGCACTTTGGGAGGCCGAGACGGGCGGATCACGAGGTCAGTAGATCGAGACCATCCTGGCGAACACGGTGAAACCCCGTCTCTACTAAAAATACAAAAAAAAAAAAAAAATTAGCCGGGCGAGGTGGCGGGTGCCTGTAGTCCCAGCTACTCGGGAGGCTGAGGCAGGAGAATGGTGTAAACCCGGGAGGCGGAGCTTGCAGTGAGCTGAGATCCGGCCACTGCACTCCAGCCTGGGAGATAGAGCGAGACTCCGTCTCAAAAAAAAAAAAAAAAAAAAAGTAATACTTCATTTGTCCTTTTTCTTACAGGTTTCTCTGCTTATACAATTTCTGATTGAGAATTGCCTTAGGATATTTGGAGAAGAAATCACTTCCCTCTTCAGAGAGGTTTCAGTGAGATGTGACACTAGAGAGAATGCCTCAGGTATTTTGAACAATTGGATTGGTTTTTGTGAGAAACAGACACGTGTTTGTAAACATACTGGGATAGGGGTTTTCCTGGAGTCCACAGCAGCTGAAGTGAAGGGAGCCTCTGATCCAGGTCAGTGGGGCCCAGGGCTTTTGATCCTTCCTTAGATGGCCTGCCAATAGGTTAGCATGTGTTAACAGTGTAGTGGGATTAAGAACTATATAAAGATTAGGTTCTAGCCTTCAATAAGTTAGTGGCAGCATGCTGTGGTATGATGGTTTTTGATGGGCTTTTTATGAATAACCCTAGTATGTATAACAGAACTGCTGTGGGTGAAACTGGTGTAGAAAGCCCAGAGGTAGTGGAGGCATGAGTGGTTTTGTTTGTTTGTTTGTTTGTTTGTTGTCCTCTCCTTCCTCATACTGGTCCCTCAGGCACCTCAGAATTCTAGTGTGCTATGAAACAGTTTGAAACAACTAGCATCATTTGGCTGGGAGGGTGGGGGAACATTGAATTCGAAGACATACAGCTGCCTTCAGAACCTGAATCCCTGTGCCATCAATTACTAGATATGTTATCTTTGGCTGGTTATTCTATGCCAGTGAACATCATTGTCTTTATCTCTAAAATGTGGATAAAAATAATGTCTAACTATTATGATTGTTTAAATAAGGTAATGGATATTAAAGAACTTTGTAAAAGGACATTGTTAGAGTTAGTAAATGGTTTCCCCAAGACTAGCGTTAAGTATGTGTAACCACCAGCAACCTGTTAGAAGGCAGAGTCTCACTCAGAATCTGGATATACTTATACTATGAAAGCATTAATTCCTTCATATGTTTCACCATTTCTTGGTCATATGACATGTTCATTGCCTTAAGAAAATTTTAAGGAAAGCCCATTCGTCAGGAACTGATATAAATCTCCTATACCCCAGCAATTTTATTTTTATTCTTCACTAACAATTGAGATTGTGAAAGATTCTTTCTTGAGAGCAGGAATTTGAACACTCCACATGAAAAGAGAATTCAGCTAAGCACCATAGTTTGTTCTTAAGGAAGCATAAGTATATTTGTGGTAAGTAAACATGCTAATCATGGTTTAATTTTTTTGACAGATATTTCTTGCTTTCAACTGAATGACTCCTCCTATGACAGCTTGGAAAATGAGCTAAATGAGGATGTTGATGCACCATGCAGTGACTTGGTAAAGAAACTTGGCCAGGGGAGCAGAAGCATGGACTCTGTCTTAACCCTCAGTGACTATGATCTTGACCAGCCCGAGGTGGAAGGCCTTTTAACCCTAAGTGACTTTGACTTGGCCCATTCTAAAGATGAAGATGTTCAAATGAAACGGCCTCTTGAATCCAAGCCGGTGAACATTTTAGCGTACACAAAGATCCCACTGCGGGATCATGCCAGGGCCCCGTCTGCCATGTGCACACCCAGCTACCTGTCCACAGCTGCAGCAAATGCTGCAAAAAGCCTGAGGCGACACCGGCGTTGCTCAGAGCCCAGCATCGACTATCTGGATTCAAAGCTTTCCTACCTCAGGGAGTTTTATCAGAAAAAGCTACGCAAGTCCAGCTGTGATACAATTCTTTCTCAAAAAGATGAAGACTATCTGAAGCAGAATCAACCCCTCCAGGAAGAGGGAAAGACATGTTTTAAACAGAGTTTAGTCACAGGCACTGATGTCAGCAAGAAAAATCCCACTACTCAAAACACTAAGAAGAAAAGCTTGTCTGGTAGTGAAGGAAATCATATGAAACTTTTCCCTAAGTCCAAGCCAGTGGCCATTTCTGTGGCGTCTTATAGTCCTGCGTCCTCACAGGATCATTCCAAGAACCAGCCCTTTGATGTGGATACATCTGGATACTCCCCACCACACACAGCAGATGCCCTCAAGGGTCCAAGGACACACCGGCGCTGCTCAGAGCCCAACATAGAAGACCAGAACCGCAAGCTGACCTATCTCAGGGGAATTTATTCAAAGAAACAACATAAAACCAGCTGTAAAGCTGGTCTCTTGCATGGAGAGGAAGATTATCTCAAACGGCATAAGTCTTTGCAAATGGAGGGGCAGAAGCTTATTAATCAGAGTTTAGTCATGGGGATTGAGGTGGGCAAGAGTAGTGCCACAAACCAAAACACTGAGAAGGTTCTACCCCCAAAATTAAACCTTTGCCCAAGGACCAGCTATTCCAGCTTATCCTCCCCAGGCACTTCCCCATCCGGCTCATCAGTAAGCTCCCAAGACAGTGCTTTTTCTCAGATTTCTGAACACTCTGTGTTTACACCCACTGAGACTTCCTCTCCAATAGATTGTACTTTTCAGGCTCAGAGAAAACGGGAAGAGCTTTCTCCTGACTTTAGCAATGCCAGCCATGTTTCTGGAATGCCTGGTCCCTCATCAGGGCAGGCTTGCAGCCGCCCAGCCTATACAAAGAAGGACACTATGGAGTGGCATTCACAAATGCATTCTGTAACTCTTCATCCCAGCACATGGTTGAGAAATGGTGTGGCCAGTTTGAAAAACTGGTCCCTCAAAAAGAAAGCAAAGGCAGCCAGACCAGAGGAAAAGAAAATAGATTCTCCAAAAGGACCCTTAGAGCCACCCCTACATGCTTCTGGTGTTCCAGAAGCCAGCTCACTGCAAGAGGAACAAAAAGACTTGCCCTTAAGGGCAGCTGAAGGACTGGCCCCCATGCAGTCAGCCCAAAGTTGTAGTTCTTCTCCCTTCCAGGACTCAGAGAGACACTATAGCTCTCCATTCAGCCTGGTGGAGAGCAGACTCAAGCTGTGTATGAAGTCACATGAGGAAATAGAGCCTGGTAGTCAGAGCTCTTCTGGTTCTCTCCCTTGGGAAAGAGCCTCAGCCAGCTCTTGGACTCTAGAGGATGTGACCAGCCCAGACTCAGGGCCTACAGTGGTCTGCGACATTGAGGACAGGTATTTAACCAAAGACATTTAACCATAATAAGAATCTGATGTCCACAAGAACAGGAACTGGGTTAATAATAATAGACAATAATTATTATGACCCCTTTGTATAAGATACCTGGGAGAGGTAGCATAAGGATTATCATTGCTAATACTTAGGACAATGAAATAATTCTCTTTATTGAGACTACTTGACAAATAACTTTATGCTAAAACTTTTGTCACCTAAGTGTTTAGGAGGCTTTTTCCTATTAAAGGTTGGGATTGGTCCTGTCATGTGGTTTTAGAGATACTAACAGAGGGCTAGCGAAAGCATCTTCTGTAGAGGAACCACTTATGGGAACAGTCTGTGAGATTGGTGTCCTGAGAAGACCAAGATATCATGAATGAGGAATAGGGGCCTGAGGAGAGAGGGGAAGGGTACAGAGAAACCATCTACATTCCATGGAATGTTTTTAATAAGTAGGCAAGAAAAATGCCACTAATCAAAGCATTAAGTGTGTCCAGTAATGAAGAACATCATGTAAAACCTTTCCCTAAATCCAAGCCAGTGGCCATTTTTGTGGGATCTTACTAATCACGTGTCCTTACAGAATCATTCCAGGAACCAGCCCATTGCTACAGCTGGAGTGGAGAAAAACAGTGACTCAAAAGCCATGGGTACCATGATAATCAGTTTTGTTGGTTGTATTTGTCGGTTTGTTTTTTCATTAGTGTTGAAGTGCTTTGCAAAGGCTTCAGGAAACAGAGTTGTGAGGAGAAAGAAGAAAATGGCTGCTCATTTCAGTACCCTTTTCAAAGGTGTCTCTGGCTAGAAACATTCTTCAGAAAAGCAACTTTTTCTATTTAGAAGGTGACCTCCTGACAGCATTCACTCTCAGTGTGGGGGAAAAGACCACAACAACGGTCCTTTCTCAATTACATGAATGCTGTTAACGTGATCAAACCATGGCATCACTTTGCTGAAAGGTTTCTGCACAGTCCTGCCTCTTAGATTATAGTCAGCCAGAAAAAACATAAATAATCCCTTTTCTGATTTTTATAGTTTGGCAATTGGGAGAGCAATATAGAGGTTGGCAGATTATAAGGAGTCCCACAATAGAATACCCAACAAAGTGGCTACCAGGCCTTCTCAGACAGCCATTTGCTTTGGGTTTTACTTCCAGACGTTGTTTCGTATTTTTGCTCCAAATGTTTCATGGCTTATACTCCATTGGTTTATTTTATATCCATGGACCTTTCTCCACTTTCTTGACTTAAAGTTTACAGCAGTACATCTCATCACCTAGGAATAGATTATCAGGCCTTGCCAACTAGTATGCAGGGACGGCACTGAAAATGGATGTGCATCTTCTTTCACATTAACTACTTACCTATAAGAAGTTGCTCTGAGCCCATTCTCTTTAGTTCACCACCAGATGGATCTTTCTCTCACAAGCTAGCTTATTCCAAACTATTTGTCTTATCAATCAGCCAGAAAATGGTCATATCAAATGTTCTTTCTTTTTTGTTCTAAAGGTTTCATTTCCAGTTATAGGGAAAAAATGTTTTCTCTGAGATAGAAGAAGTTATTTCAGTATTAGCTATAGGTGCTACCTACCTCGTGGGGACATGGCCCTGTTTGTGCTAACCATTACAATGATCTTTAAGAACTCTGCATCCAAAGAGCTACTTCATGACACTGGCCATCTCAGTCACAGATGTGAAGTCGATTTCACTTTATAACTAACCAGTCCCACATATTAAGACTCCTAAGTGGCCATATGCATCTTTTTTGGTATAATATATAAAGTCAGCAGGGACTCCCCTTTCCCTTGGGGCATACTACTGTCAGAACTGCAAGATGTGAATGAAGCTCTTATGGCTTGGAGTGTCTTTCTGGAAGAAATTGCCTTTTTCTTTTTCATATTAGCAGGTAAAAAAAAATCATTCACCCAATTTGAAGCATCGAAGAAAATAGTTGCTGAGGTTTTTTAATAACCATTCCTACTATCTGTGTTCCCTTAGATACTCCTGTAATTCTTAATGTGAATAGTTTGTTAATATTGCTGTAAAGTATTATATTGTATGATTTGAAGACAGACTATATGTCATTTTATTATACTCCATCAATCTATAATATATTAGACTGATGCTTTATCTAAAATGCTTTGAGTTTGTATAATATATCTTGACAAATTTTACTACCATATGTTATGTAATAAATGTGTATTTTTGTACTTGCAGAAACTGCTGCTAACTTTTAAAGTTGTTTGGTTTTGAAGGCACTGATAATGGATATGTATGAAGTCCATGCTGTCTGTTAAATAAAATGCCATTCTGCAGAATTAACCATCCCACCAGAGCAATATTGCCCTTTGTAGAATTGTTCTAGTTAATGATCCCAGTCTCTGCCTAACAAACATTGGAAATTTCATAGAGTATAATTAATGTTGAATTTGAACCTTGAGCTTTAGTCAGAACCCATGGTCAGTCTGTCTTTTTAGGAAAAGAGGTTTTTTAAAATATTTTTTTCTAATGTTATTTACCAAACAAGTCATGTTTTAGATACAAAGTCTTCATTTTATTAGGCATTATGTTTTCATTGTGCTCCTGGAATGAGATATAGTCAGTATTTTTATGTCAAAGAACCATCAGATCACTTCGATTGTGTGAGATTTTCTTATCTAAGTTTGGACCATTCTAGCCAGAATACCCAGATGACCCCAGATACATGCCAAGACGTCTCTGCTTTTCAGGTCATATAAATGTATTTAATATGACAAGATTGTCAGGACTGCTACAGCTTTGCCGTCTTAAAGTTGGCTGAGTTTCCCTCTGTGTAAAATTAATCACTATTTCAAAGGGATTCAAAAACATATACTACTTTAGTCCGAAAGAATTTCTTCTAACTGGGCAGAAAAGAATACAACTCCAGTCAGGTTGTATTTGGGCAATGTACACACACACTGGTGTTGATTTCACTCAGAAACACAATGATAATTTCACTTTTTAAAAAGAGTCTTAATCTAAAAGCACGTTTAAGAGATTATCTCCTTTGTGCTTCTCTACTTTTCATGACATGATATTGATTCCAAGGGATCTAATGTATATCTTTGAACCAATGCCATATTGTTTCTGCTAAAAAAAAATTCTAAGAATATTATGTATTTTCATCCAAATTTTGGTGGCAAGTGTTTAATTCATATTTTCCTTCCAGGTCATGTTTTGTTTGTTTTGTTTTGATTTTTGTTTTTTGTTTTGAGACAGAGTCTCACTCTGTAGCCCAAGCTGGAGTGCAGTGGCGTGATCTCAGCTCACTGCAACCTTCGCCTCTGGGGCTCAAGCAGGTCTCCTGCATCAGCCTCCCAAGTAGCTGAGACTACACGTGCGTGCCACCATACCCGGTTTATTTTTTTATTTATTTATTTTTAGTGGAGACGGGGTTTCACCATGTTGCCCTGGGTGGTCTCGAACTCCTGAGCTCAGGCCATCAACCCGCCTTGGCCTCCCAAAGTGCCAGCTCATGTTTTAATGACACAGAGAACATCTTTACAAACTGCCTATCCCAATGCAAAGAAAAATTCATTACAAAAAAAATTTTAGTAAATGACTTTTATTCCCTGAATAATAAAGTTGAGTAAAATGTTTACTTTCTTCAACATCTATTCTGGCTGTGAGGATTTCTCCTAAGGTAAGTTTCTAAGTATTCTTGGGTTCTGTTCTGACTTACCCTGAGCTAGCATTTTACCCTGTTCCTGAGCCACCTTCATGTTGCATTCAGGTTTTTTGTTTTTTGTTTTTTGTTTTAATACCATGAATTCTTAGCTCTGCCCTCCATAATGTCAGATATTATGATAGAATTAATTGACAGAGGGCTCTGGGTTGTAATTTGTAAAGTTTTGTTTTGAAATCCCAAAGAAGCACACACAGATGATGGTATTAGATGACCATTGCTCCTTTTTTTTTTTTTTTTGAGATGGAGTCTCACCCTCATTACCCAGGCTGGAGTGCAATGGCGCAATATTGGCTCACGGCAACCTCCGCCTCCTGGGTTCAAGCGATTCTCCTGCCTCAGCCTCCTGAGTAACTAGGATTACAGGCATGTGCCACCACGCCCGGCCAATTTTGTATTTTTAGTAGAGACAAGGTTTCTCCATGTTGGTCAGGCTGGTCTCGAACTCCTGACCTCAGGTGATCCACCCGCCATGGCCTCCCAGAGTGCTGGGATTACAGGTGTGAGCCACCACGCCCGGCTGAGCATTGTTCTTTAATGTGTGTTCACTTAGTACAGCACCAGAACAGATATACATTTTTAGATCAAAATATATTTTAACATTTGTTAAGGCAAAATATATGTTTTCTGGAGTTGAATTTTGCATGGTAATATATAGGCTTTGGAGACATTAAGATTTAAATGCTAGTTGTTATAGTCTAGACTTGATATTAGATTACAGTAACTTGAAATTAAATTTAGGACTTCTCCTTGCAGCCTCTTTATCTGCTATGAAGTGAATAAATCAGCTAAAATCTTGTGAGGTAGTTCCATTACTCTAAGCAAATAAAATGGGTGCTACAAAGAAATGCGCCTTCTCTGCCAGATCACAGGGGCTGCGATTGTTACTGCCTAAAATTTTCAGGAAGAAAGGAAATGAGTATCTTTTCCCAAGAATGGGATGATTAAGTAGCAGAGAATCATCAAAATACATGAGCACAAGATGCTTCCTGCTTGATGGCACAGCAAGTGAGTAGAGAAGGGGGAAAGCCTTAAGTAAGCATTCTAATTCGTACAAGAAATTGAATCACAGGGAGTTTAAGAAACAAAACTGAAAAGAAGGAAAGACCATGGCTTGGGAAAATGAAAGTGTTAAAAGTGATAAAATGTTATTCAGGCAGCTAAACTTTTATTGCCAGGTACTGTTCCAGACCCTAGTGATACAAGGTGAAAAAGACAAATTATTTCTGTCCTCAAGGACTTTAAACAGGGAAGGGAAAAATTGGGCTGTGTAGAAGAGTGGGAACAGTAACATTTATTGGGTACTTTGTTGCATGTATGCACTGGTGATGAATGTATTACATGTATTTCATTTAATGCTCACAATAGATCTTGCATCGTGGGTGCAGTTAGCTGGCACCTCATTCTGGCCACAGGCTTTTTTTTTTTTTTTTTTTTTTTACCTTTTCCTCTTAAAATAGGTAAGACAATACAAGACAATACTTCTTTCATCATAAAGCAGGCACAAATTATGTATGTGAGGACCATCCAGACTTTCCTAAATTCTTGTGTCTAGGCTGGGTATCTCAAATTTATGAAAATCATATCAGAAATAATTCTGAAAGCTACGATGAATATAAAAATAATTGGACTGAGAATTTGGTTTACCCAAAATGGCAGACTTGTGTCTCCATGCTCCTCTCTGCTAAGTACAACTGTAAATCCTGTAAGTATACAGGAGACAGCCAAAAGAAAATCCTGAAAGGGGATAAGAGGCAATGAAACTGGTTTGGAACTCTAGGAGTGGGGGAACAACGCAGTGGCAGAGCATCTCACATCTCCTCACCAGTAGAAGAAGGTGACCCAAGGCCTGACTTTTCCCAACTAGCAACACAGGGCAGCTCAGAAATGCCCCTTTCCCTGATCAGTGAGAATCCCTCTGACACCACCTGGTGAAGCAGGAACCATTGGCAAGATGGACTGATGAGAGCCCCACTAGTAATAAATGACCTTTCCTGCTAGGCCTGACACTTACCTCACCCCTGAAAGAGAGTTGGTCAGGCAACAACAGCAAGAGGGACCCAGCCACAACCCGCAGCTCATCCTGGAAAGCTAATTGGCCACAGCTGCTGTAAGATTCCCCTCCCCTGTCCAAAAACACTGGAACAGCCAGACGATATGGGAAGGATTCCACCACAAAAAATATCCAGCTAGGGCTGTCTCAGGCATGAGGAACAAAGAGGCCTCCCTGACCAGAAACATCAAAATACACCACAAAAGCTCTGAAAATTAAGTTGTCACTGGGCCCACCACCCTAAACAGGCCAGATCTGTGGGTGCTGAAACTAAACAAGGTGACTGCCTGCTAAATTAAAAAGATTTATGTGGGACCCAGAGTCTCTTAACATAATAGACAAAATGTCCAGGATACAATTAAAAATCACCTGTCTCACCAAGAACCAAGAAAATCACAATTTCAATGAGAAAAGACAATGTCAACATTAAGATGATTTTTAAAACAGCCACTCTAAAATGTGTCAGAAACCGAATACAAATTATCTTAAATGAAAAAAATATAATCTGAGCAAATAGAAGTTATACAAAAGAACCAAATGGAAATTGTTAAACTGAAAAATACAATAGCAGAAATCTCAGTGTATGGGCTCAATATTAGAGTGGAGATGAAAGAGCACAGAATCAGTAAACTTGAGGATAGACTGATAGGATTTGATGACAATCTGAACAACAGAACAGACTGGAAAAAAATAATAATCAGAGTCTCAGGCACCCATGGAACACTAACAGAAGGGCCAACATTTGTGTCAGAGTTCCAGGAGAGAGGGTAAGGCTGAAACAGTATTCAGGGAAATAATGGCTGAAAACTTAACAAATGTGGTAAAAGACATAAACCTACACATTCAAGAAACTGAAACCTAAGCAGGATAAGTGCAAAGGCATCATAATTGAATGTCTGGAAACTAAAGACAAAATCTTGAAAACAGAACCAACACCTTACCTATAGGAAAACACAATTCAAATGACAGGATTTATCATTTGAAGCCATGGAGGCCAGAAGGAAGTAGCACAACATTTTACAAGTGCAGAAAGAAAAAGAACTGTCAACCCAGAATCCCATATCCAGTGAAACCAACCTCGATGAATGAAGAAAGAATAAGGACATTCTCAGATGAAAGAAAATGTCAGGAATGTGTCACTAGCAGATACATTTGTAAAGATTTGGTAAGGAAAGTTTTTTAAACAAAGTAAATAATAGAAAATTTGGAGCATCAGGAAAAAAAGAAAACAGAAATAAGGGTATGTATGACAGACAATCCTCAGTTTTATAAATCAAATTTGATACCTGAAACAAAAATTATAACACCATTTGATACTCAATGATATTGAAAAGTGGAAAAGATAAAAGGACCTAAATGGAAGTGAGGTTCCCATACTTCATTCAAAGTGGTAAAATGTTGGTACCAGTAGTGTGATATGCTACAGCTGTATATTGTAATATCCAGAGCAACTACTACAAAAACTATATATTTGGAGTGCGTGTATCTCAAATAATCAAGATGAAATTCCAAAAAAAGTCTTTAAAACCCACAGGAAGAAAAAAAAAAAAGCAGACTAATAAAGCCAGA